ACCACTTGTGCCCGCCTAGTGCTCTTGGCATGCGCGCTCCCCTGGAGGGCAGGGCTTAGGGCAGTGATGGCGAACCTATGACACCGAACTCATTTTTTTGGTTGATTTTTCTTTGTTCAATGGCATTTAAATATATAAAATAAATATCAAAAATATGTCTTTGTTTTACTATGGTTGCAAAGATCAAGACATTTCTATACGTGACACGGCACCAGAGTTAAGTTAGGGTTTTTCAAAATGCTGGCACGCCGAGCTCAAAAGGTTCGCCATCACTGTCTTAGGAGGAGCAAAGGAAGGAGGACGGGCAGTGTTCACGGGGCAGAACCGACGCGGTTCGAGGGGCCTGTGCGGATGTCAGGGTGACGTCCGAGTCAGGAAGCCCAGACGCAAATCCAGGCTGGCACTGGAGGCCTGACCGTCATGAGCGTATCAGTGTGAGAGAGCAGCTGACAGTGCGAAGTGTGCATTGATCACATGAGATTCAGGAGAGAGGAGAGGGTCAGGGCAAGTTAGAGCTTCCCTCAGTGGCTGCAGGGAAAGAAATGGCTTCGCGGGGAGTCTCTCTCTCACACGCTTACTGAGCAGTGGGGTAACAGAGCTCTCAGTCCCCCTGAAACCTACAGACTGACCTGAAACTGTACCAGCAGCACCAGGGAAGGTCTAGAAGATGCGAAGTATGAACACACGGAAAAGCATAAACAGGAAAGATGTCTAGCGCCAAAGAACAAAGCAGAACTTTGCGGCCAAATGGCCATTCCCCCCAAGAAAGTTGAGGAAATAGTTGACGTCTCTTTTCAAAGACATGAGAGGCCTGTAACTTCTTTAAACAAGAGAAACCAGTTCGAGTATGACTCCATGGAAGTATTAAGAAGTCAAATCATATCTTTATTGGAAATGGTGAAAAGCAGAACTTCTGCTTCTGGGTAGGATGTGGTAGATCTCTGCAGGCCACCACTCTCGTTGCAACAAGGAGGAGGAAACGTATATAAGATGATAATCGACATTTTTAAAGAGAATGGAGAGTCGTTAGGAGAGATAAGAACCAGATGAACTAAGATGCCAAAG